TATTAGAGATTGTTTAAGTTATAAGAAAATAATTAGACATTTGTTATGCAAATGCCAAATTTTACATTTCATTAAGCGAGTGAGTGAGAAGGGAGAGTATTTGTACTTTATTTCCCTCTTCTCCCTTATGAAAATAATAGTTGACAGCTTTGAATTCGTGTAGCAACAGTAAAAATATTCCCCCAGGTAAACATCATAATCGGCGTTATCGACTCCCTGATATAAGTATGGCGTCGATAACGTCGATAACGATGTGTAACTGGGAGTTAAGGCTCTGTTACGTACCACGGTGCAGCGAACAGAGGTGACGCCGTCAGTGGTACCGCTACTTTGGTTTTGCCGATTTTGACAGTTGTGGTAACTTGCAAACGAACCTTTGTTTACAAATCAGCGAAAGAGAAATTTAATTATATGTGATAAATCAGTTTAAATTGTGTTAATTTGCAATTTGTGAGTGATTTTTGAGTTGAAGACTGCGTAAAACCTAATAAAATGAAGTGCTGTGTGTTAAATTGCGACAGCCGTCAAGATGCAAGATACGTAGATGCAAGTGTAGCGCTGGGACGAATCGCTGCATTTTGCGTACATAGGGCACGGCGAAGCCGTTCCCGAAATGTTTCTTTATTATTACATTAACAGCATTTCCTCACAATGATTTCGCTTCTGCTCCAAGCAGCCTCCATTAGCAAGTTAACTAATCAATCCCGCGGAGATGCTGCCGCAGTCTTAATTGCAAAGCAATGGAGTGCACTAAAACATTTGCTGAAGCAGCCTCAATTGCAAAGCAATGGGATTAGGTGAAAAATGCAATATTTTCGCGTTTAGCAAAATTAAAACACGTTTTTCGCTGTAAAGTGAACTGTTTGGGAAGTTTTAACTAGTTCTTCTTTTCGCTCTATTCTTTGTTTACTTGTGGTACACAAATGTCAACGCCCAGGACGGCGCAATCTTGTATTCTATCATTCTTGGTTACGTACGTGTTTTTACGTAGAAATCAAAAACCAACAGACTTCTACGTATTTAATGGTGTGCGTTGGGTAACAGCTTACATGCGAAGCTTATTTAACAGATTCCTTATGTGACAACTCTCAAGCAATGCCAAGTATGCATAACAGAGCCTTTAGTGTTAGCCAGACATGGTGCAAACGGCTCTTAATAGGTTAAGTTGATTTCCTGTTCCTTAATTTAAAAATATTTAATACTTAATTTGAATAAAGTTTCATTTAATTTGAAAAAAGTTTCATTTGGTTTGAATAAAGTTTCATTGAATCTGAAAAAAGTTTCATTTAATTTGAATAAAGTTTCATTGAATCTGAAAAAGGTTTCATTTAATTTGAAAAGGGTTTCGCTTCATCTGAAAAAGGTTTCAATTAATTTGAAAAAGGTTTCGCTTAACCTGAAAAAGGTTTCATTTAATTTGAAAAAGTTTCATGCTATATAGCATTTTCAGTTTAAATGAAACCAATTTCAAATTAAGCGAAACCTTTTTCAAATTAAATGAAACCTTTTTCATGTTAAGCGAAACCTTTTTCAAATTAAATGAAACCTTTTTCAGATTCAGTGAGACTTTATCCAAATTAAATGAGACCTTTTCAGATTCAATGAAACTTTATTCGGGAAAATTTTAGAATGGTAACCCCCGATTACGGAATTAAGGAAAATAGGGGGGGTAGAGGGGGTTCTAAAGGGGGTGTATGTAAAGTTTTAAAGCGCGCAACCTTATAGTTCCTTAGGCCTTCGGTCGCACTTAGGGATTATAACCCTCAGGCAGTAGAATTCTCCTTTCTGTGTTGCCAAAGAAAAGGGGCCGAACACCTTTTGCATAGAACACCTTTCTGCGTAGGCGGCCTTCGGCCGCACTTAGGGATTATAACCCTCAGGCAGTATAACTCTCCTTTCTATGTTGCCAAAGAAAAGGGGCCGAACACCTTTTGCATAGAACACCTTTCTGCGTAGGCGGCCTTCGGCCGCACTTAGGGATTATATCCCTCACTTCGTAGAATTCTCCTTTCTGTGTTGCCGGAAGAGGGGAATATGACCCCAATCCCCCTACTATTTATTTTTATCTGAACAAAAGAACCTTATCGTATTTTCCTTTTAATCGTATTTTCTTTTGGTCTTGCTTTCCACTCTTGGTTTTTTTAGATATGGCAACGCAGTCCTGCTGCCATTTCCACATATTCTGCATGTACTCTCATAAAATTAAACAACAATCAATTTTTTATAAAAAAGCTGTAATAGACTAAAAGTATTTATTTGTTTGAACGTGCACACTCTAACTGCGCATATATTGAGTGTAAATAACGTGTAAATTTAGTGGAAAGTGCATTATATATTGTGAAATAGTCCAATACAAGTTGGTGAAAATTACAAACGTTAATTACAAATTACTTAAAAACTATAAAGTTGCGCGCTTTGAAACTTCATACAGCGAACTATTAGACCCCCATCTACCTCCCATATTTTCCTTAATGCTGAACTCCGGGGTTAGCAATCTAAAGCCCACCCCTTTATTCAAATTAAATGAAACTGTTTTCAAATTAAATGAAACTTTATTCAAATGAAATGAAACTTCTTTTTTGGATTATTTTGAATTAGCTGTTATGTGTTGCTCTCCCTTACGGTCAAGGCATGTTGAATACAGTGTTGCCGTTGCGGTCCAATTGGACCAAAATTGGTAGCTTCGTTTCTTAAAATAAGGCTTTGGTAGGTTGGTTGGTTTGTTGTGATTTTCGAGGGGTTTTTGGTAACTAGGCAAATCATATAATTTATTCATTTTATAAAACTTCAAATATCTCTGTTTTTGGAAGTACATGTAAAGGATAATGTGAAAAAGAAAAGAGTCATGGGACATGTCAAAATTATTCTTGTACCGAAGTTTAATGTTGCCGTGATTAGACTGTGCTCTAATCCATAGAGTTTGCCAAATTTTACTTTTCGCTTAAGCGAGTGAGTGAGAAACGAGAGTATTTGTACTTTATTTCCCTCTTCTCCCTTAAGAAAATAATAGTTAACAGCTTTGAATTCGTGTAGCAACAGTAAAAATATTCTCCCAGTTAAACATCATAATCGGCGTTATCGACTCCCTGATATACGTATAGCGTCGATAACGTCGATAAAGATGTGTAACTGGGAGTTAAGGCTCTGTTACGTACGTGTTTTTACGTAGAAATCATAAGCCAACAGACTTCTACGTATGTAATGCTGCGCGTTGGGTAACAGCTTACACGCGAAGCTCATTTAGCAGATTCCTTATGTGACAACTCTCAAGCAGTGTTGCCGTTTTAGCCCTTTGGTGGCTAGATTTGGCTACCACATACTTTTTTTGGCCACACAAATTTAAAATTGCCCCTAGCCCTTTTTTTTAGCCCTTTGGAGAATTTATTCATCCTTGGCATGAAAAAGTGGTACATACATACATGTATGCTTAATTTGATCTCACTTTTTTTCATTTATGTAAGAGATGAATTTTTAAACTAAGGAACACTGATATATATACATATATGTATTGTATGTTCCTTACGTTTTTATACATACATACTGTAAAAGTGTTAGGGCGGTTAACTTATATATTAACGATTTAACTATAGTTTAAAATATATAAGTCTACGGCCCTTAATATGCTTAATTTGTTAATTCGAAAATTTTATGATTGTACAAGCATGCTGGTGTCGTGAATAGTGAAATTAGCTAATTTTTCTGAGTAAAAATATTGTGACGGAGATTTCTTGCACTACATGAGGCAAAGCCGTATTTGTGGAAGATTAAAGTTCACGATATTGCAGTTGTGAATAAAAAAAACAATGT